AAAAGACGCGTCTTTATCGTTTGAGATCCATTTTTATTTTGACGCTGCTTTCAAAACAGCGCTACTATATCAGGCGAAACATACTAATATATTCTTACAATAACAATTTAATAATATCTAACATAATCTATTACAAGTAACAAATTTAAAGATAAATTCATTCTTCTGCAATATGGCCTTTACGGATTCAGAGCATTTCTCTAAGTTAAATTCCTTAATAAGTTTCGGTGTATATTCCAAAAATGTTTATCCTGTTCCACTTGGCGAATTTCTTGCTATATAAAATATTTTAGCTTATGTTTTTGTTTTGTGAGATAATAAATATATATATATATTTATTGAAAATACAGAAACTGAAAACGCATCTCAATTGAAATACGAGGACGGTTTGATAAGTCCGTGACTTTTTGAATTTCTCGTGCAGTTACTCCAAATGCAACAGTTCAGTCGTCAGCTACAATCTACCAGTGGGCAACTTTCTAATTTTGAGCAAGCTACGTCGTTCAGTTGTTGTTTGATAGCCGTTCAAAGCTGACAACCTCGTGAATTTTTACGAAAATTGAAAAAAGTGAATTTCGTGTGCTGATTAAGCATTACTGGCCAAAATCCACGAATTGGGATACGAGCTGCCCCATCCAGCATATTCTCCAGATTTAGTCCCTGCGACTATTTTCTGTTTCCAAACCTAAAAAAAATGGCTGGGCGGTAAAAGATTTGAGTCGAATGAAGAAGTCATTACCGAAGCAAACACGTATTTTAAGAGCTTTGAGAAAACCTAGTATTATTTGGAGGGAATAAGAAAATTAGAAAATTGCTGGACTAAATGTATCGAGCTAAACTGTGATTATGTAGAAAAACAAAATGTTTATTTGTCGAAAAAAATTTGTTTTAATCAAAAAGTCACTGACTTATCAAACCGCCCTCGTATTATAAACAGAATGTTAGCTTGGAAATATAATTATCAAACCCATTATCAATATATTATTTTCCATTTTATTAGTAATTTTTTATACAAATTTACAACAAATTATAAACATGAAAATATAATTATCGTATCCGTTTATCAATATATTATTTTCCTTTTTAATAGTAGTTTTTAGATACAATTTTCAATTTCACACTTTTAAGTATTTATTAATTATCCTACTTATTTCTATACCATACAATACAATATGCAAATAGAAAATAAATCTAACAACGTCTCAAGTACCAAGAAAATGAAAAAAAAACTCCAAATAATTCAAATAATTTTAATGAAAAGCACTTGAATGGAAATTAAGTTTGTTTGAATAGATATTATTCTAAATGAAGTGCAATTAATTAATATATTTAAAATTGCGCAGAAAGCACAGTTCGATGTAACTCCATTGGCATCCATCAAGTATTGCTTGAAAAAGGGAAGACGAGTGCTTACTAGTATTGCATACATAAAAACGTATTAATTTGTTAGCAAGGAGCAAGTGTAAGTGTAAAGCAACAGAGCAACAAAGCATCTTTAACCAACCGCAACTGCTGCAACCGATGAACACGTTTAATATGGTAATTTATGCACGGAATAAATTCGATTATATTAACGCATGCAGTGTATGTATAGTCGTGTGCAGTACTCGTATACAGCATAAAGCACATATAAACCTATATACCGTGTACAACAAACAGCAGTGTTTCGGCATTGGCAGCAGCAGCAGAAGAAGCAGTAGTAAAAGTGGCTGCACGGCACTTGTATGTAGAGCATACACACTCAAACAGAATCACTCGTTCATGCACTTGTTACACATTAAGATGCATGCGCATATATTTCGAATTGCAACAGCGTAAGCGTATCGAAAGCTACGTGAGTTCATATAGTGAAGAAACGCGTATTGTGCGGTTTTTGCAACATCATGAGAAACGTATTAAGTACAACATATTTGTGTGTGTAATATTATATTTTAACCATCAGTACACACCTTTATGCACTTGTATACCATATCTGTGTATAAATATGGCCACGGCATGTACTTCAACTTGAACAGTTGCTCAACTCTAGAATTGCATACGAAGCCGACTGACATGTATGCAAAGACCTTACATATTTCAGTATTTTCACAGCCAAAATTTGTTATTGAAAAAAAGAAAAACAAAAAAAAAAGTGAACACAAAACGAAGAAATCACTTTTAAGGATAACATCACTTATGGGAGCTATAAACCACACAATTGGGCACTGCAAGTCAAACTTAAGGCAACCACCACAGCCACGATAGTTACTATACCGCAACACTGCTGGGCGCCAATGCATGATATGCGCGGCGCTTAACTTGATTTACTCAATTGATTTTTGTATGGCATCCTTTTAACTACACGGAATATTTTCATATATATTATCCTATTTGTTTTTTCTTTTTGTTTTTTGTTTTTGTTTTTGTTTTTGTTTCTTCAAATATATTGGCTTTTTTAAGGCTTCTTGGTATAATATTAAATCGCAGAAATTCGCTGAGCTGAACTTATGAGCCATGCAAAAAGTATCTTCCAAGTTTTTATTTTATTTTTAATAATTTTTTTAATTTTTCACTTCTTTATTGAATATAAAATGAGAAAGGATTAAAATTATTTACATTAATCAGAAAACTTAAATCATTTTTCCGATGAATAAATATAAATGGAGAAGTGAGGGTAATTAATTTCTGTAATAATAAAACCAAATGTATATTTACATCTCAATGGAATGCAAAAATTATTTTAATATCTTTTTATTTTTCAATTATACAAATTTATTTTATCGTATGAAATGCTCAAGAACAGTGGCTATATAATATATATATTAAAAATATAAAAAAAGTACAATATTGTAATTATTATATTAATGAACTTACATGCAACTTTAAAGTTCTTATGTGTGTAAAATAATTTTTTTTTTATTGGAAAAATAAATTTTCATTTTGAACCAAAGATATTACAATACAAACTGTTTCATATGGAGAATTGGTGTGAACCAACTTTTGCTCATTTTGATTCGGTTTCTAACTTAATGAGTTATAGTGGATACACATGAGAGTTTTGATTGTAATTTTAGCTGTCAAAAATTTTAAAGTGACGTCTGTAATCAAAAAGTATCGATTCACACGACGTATCATTGTCAGACCAGCAGTGTCAATAATTGTCAGATTTATCATATGTCCACACTTTTTAACTACTTTAAGTACTACTCCTAAAAAAAGAAGTACATATGATAAATAACAGTTTTGTTTCATTTAAATGAAAATTTATTTTATTCCTATAAACTGTTCACAATAGCATAATAGCAAATTTTCTAATCAAGTAGTATTTTGGGCTAACTATACAATTGTTTCGGATTTGGTCACATAAAAATACACATCAAAATAATACATTTTGATTTATTTGATATGAAATATATCATACTGCACCAAAGAAATTAATAAACCAGTATCATCAATATCCTTACATGATATGTGACTATACATAAATAACAACATTTAAATCTATAAGAGTACTTATCCATATATATGATCGGAACTGGTAAATATCAACCATAGACTCGCATGTAAAAATACAAAAACAATATACCAAGAATTGTTATTAATTGACAATTTCTTTTATCAGTGAAGATATTTTGACAATATATATATATATTTTGAGTATAGCCAAAATATTATTGTATCTCATTATGTTATTGTAGATTAATTTTAATGCAATAGAAAATACGAATAATATGTGTTTGTACCAAGTCTGATATTGCCACATATCATAACAAATATATTTCCAGAGCATATAAGAACATACAACATTTATTTATTACATATTTATTCTTTAGTAATAGTAAATTGAATACATTTTCTACTCTACTAAATTGCAATATTTTACTTTCCATTTTATTTTTAAATATTTATTTATTAAATACATTTACATACATTTATAAAAGAATTATTTATTATCATTTGTTTTTCCAATTCACATATGCATTTTAAATTTAATGAATTTACAGGAATTTTTTATTTATAAATAATAAATGGATAACATTCGAGAACACTAAAAAAAAAACAAAAGGCAAACATTATTAAATATAAACTCTATAATTTATGAACAATTACACTATTTCCCTTTTTAAATAATTACTTAGTTGCTATCATATGAAAACAAATTTGTCTGCTATAATATAATTAAATACAAATATTTCACAGACAAAATTAATGGATAAACTACAAAAATGAATTTCGTTTACCATCAATTATAGGCTCATAAATTTGTGAGTTATAAAATTTACAAATTTATACCATAATAAAGATACTTATTTTAGAAATTTTGAATTTCGTCCATAATTGATAAACTTTTAACTGTTGTTTTTTGATAATAAAATTATATTGAAGTGTTAAAAAAACTATTAAAACATGGTATTGTTTAAAACCATATTTAATGTGTATAATTTATTTATACAATTATTTTCTAAGTAGATAACTCTGCCGATAAGCAGTAACCAGTAAAACACTCTAACTAAATAATTCATCATCATCGGTAGTATCTGTAACAGTCTATGTCAGGCCTTTACTTTCCAAATTGGTTTTCTATGTACGTCTGTGCTTTGCTGCTACCCGCCGTTTATTAATAGCTTTGGTCCACCATCTGTTTCATTGTGCATCCATCTTGCAAGCGATCCTGCTCGTGTTTTATTACATGTGATTCTGCTTTAGGTATTCCTTTAAATGTATCATCAATGACGAGGCGTGTTTTGTTTACTTTGGTATAACCAATAAGTTTCATCATTGTGTCAAATAACGCATTGATCGTTTTCACATATTGGATCAAAAATCTTCCAAGAAATTAATTTCATAAAAATTGTAAATATAATTATACTACTTCCAGGTAACGTCCATTTTAAATATTTTTTTATTTTTCGCAGACTTTAAATGGGATTGTGTGCTTGATGGATATCAACAGCATAAGAGAGAACTAATTAAGTAAGGTCTTTTTTTGTAGAAAATTTAATTCTGAGTATTAGCTACCTCGAAAACTGTTTGTATAAACTATAATAGGAGTATTTCTGAAGGTACAAGTTTTTTTATTTCCTTTTAAATTTATGACATTGCTATTGATGATTAATCCTACGTGTATAAAGGACTTAACTATCCTAAACTTATTGCTACGTTTTTTAATTCAAGTTTTCTCAAACGCCGTCATTTAACAATTTAACAACTAATACGGCAGTATTTTCGACATATATATGAAGCCATAAATGTGCTTTATATTTGTGTTTTATGTTTACAAATATTTCTCATAGTTTGTTTTTTATAGTCCACCGTTTGCACAATTAAAACTAAACAAAACTGGACTTACTTTCTTATTTGCTTTCTTTATCTATTGAAAAACCTTTCGTAGTCCATCTATGGCTTAATTAAAGGTTCAAAAGGGATTTAAGATAGTGTGATGGATATCCTTTGGATCATGAATAGAAATTCCCTTAGATCATCTTAGCTTTGAAATAAGTTCTAATCCAATTAATGGGACAATATCTTCTTTATACTACATTTAAATATACGACATTACAATAAATGTTGGATTTTAGTTAGGATCACCGTAATGACCTAACAAAGTTATAAGGATTGTTATTTCAGTGTTCATAAAAATAACAACCATTATCATAATCATACCCCAACCCCATCATACCCCAAAAAATATTTTTAATGCTTTTTATCAGGGCTGTCCAAATCACGAGAAACGGGCCTCTACAACAATAAGTCAAATTTTTGTATATTGTATTTTGGTAATTACATTACTTTATCTTTATGATATCCCAAATAAATGAATTTATATGTTTTAAATAAATTATAATATAATTCACTTAATAATTTATAATACTTTAGTTAATTGTCAAAGACTTTAGTATATATTTCTTTGTACAGCTGATTCCAAAAACTCGTACTTAATACCTTAAGTATAACAACAACTAATATTAATAATATTGATATCGTTAGAATTGTATAAGATTTATCAATGAAAAATTAATAAAACTTAATTTAACATCATCATGTATTTTTATTTTTCACCTTCAAAATTATGAACGTAAGCATTTATTTCTGCGGCGTTTTAACCTATTAGTAATTTGATTTGACCTGCAATCTTATCATGTCTGGACAGCCCTAATCTATATGATAACTGGATCTAAACGAACAACATTCGATTTAAATAATATTCACTAAACTGGATCTAAATGAACAATAATAATAACTGAATCTAAAAGAACAACATTCGATTTAAATATAATCTATTCACTTAAAATATTCCATAGTGTACATATCATACATGTAATGGAAAATTGAACTCTACAATGATTTGGTTCTTTGACAACTGTCTGGTTTTTTTGATTATTTCAATTAGAACAAAAGATGAAGTGCTACTAAGAAGAATAAAATTATAAAAATTCAAACGTTTTGAATGTGTAAAAAATTAGAATAAATAAATTCAAATATCTTAAATATATATAAATATAGCTTCAAACTAATATATATTTCTTTTATTTATATTTTTATACATTTTTGTTTCAGGATTGAAGTTGATGATCAAATTACAAAGCCACTTAATTTAGCTAACTCAGCTGTTTTACGTGCCGTTGAAGAAGAAGAAGAAATGAAGTGTGGTAAGTTAAAATAATTTATATAATTTAATAAATAAATTATATATGTTGTGTTTTATTTTGTGTACAAGAGAAGACTTAATATATGAAACCCACACAAATCGCTTACTCAATTACTCAATTTAAATTTTCAATCATACGAAAAAGTAAAATTTTCTTATTGTACACATATTTCATACTACACAGACGAAATGTTTTTAATATTCTAAACATGCTTCACACAAAACTCGAGAAGTCTCTCCTTACAGAGAAGTTTCTAATTACTTTACTAACATGTTCACACGTAAAAAATTAGATACTTACACTTTAACACAGAATAGAATAGAAATGCTTCGAAGAGTTTCAAACGGCATTTTAAGTTTAAGTTATCAAATTTTCAAAGCTTGTGAAGGCAACACAAATTTACTATTTCCTTTCAAAATATTACTATGAGTTAAATATGGTATATAAAGTTAGTAATATCACTTTTATACATTAGTATTAACATTAGTATTATAGAACGTATACATGCTATAAATTAAGCGATTTTGTTAATATTATAATATTGCTTTTTATGGAAAAAAAAAATTTGTGTAAAATTGAAATCATTTAATTAATCACACACAAATAATCCACAAAATGTAATAATATTCACCTCAAAAGGATTTCCAATTCCAATAATTCTCATGTGTAAAGCAATGTAATTAAATATATTTTCATTTGTCATTCAAACTCAAACTTTTGCGGGGTTACGTGTCGTATGAGTGACAATGATTTTTCATATAATTTCGTGCGAATGCAATTGAATATTTTATTTCATTTTTAGAGCGAACATAACAAAGTCATCAGCTAGCAATATTGATTTCATAATATTGCGATTATCTGCCTAAATGAATTTTAAAACTAATTAAAGGCTTTACACGTTCTAAAGTATTTACAATTTACATATATATACAATTAGACGTATTAGATTCAACAACAATAGAGCATTATGCAAATGTAATTAGTGGCAAAAATGTTTATTAGTTGATATACAAATTAGTAAAATGTAGTTATAAATGTAGGTATGAATGTATGTATGTATACATATTAATAGTAATTGAATTTTTACTTCTAAATGCATTGGATATTTTAGCATTTTTGATGAAAACTGCAGGAATTGTTTAATTGAAATGAAAATATCAATATTGAAATTATAGGAAATGTTGAATGATAAGAGAATTAATTTTGTGACTACAATTTATGTGGTAAAATTCATTTAATTTAATAAAAATATTTATAATAATAAATAAAACCACATTAAATAAAAATAAAAATTATTTAAAGTACGTATAAAATATATTTAATTCACTCATTTATATATTTTTATAATCTGACATCTACCGTGTTATCAAAATTGCGAGCACAAAAACATCTTAAATGTACAAATAAAGGGAGAATAAATGTTATAAAATTTTTCCCTAAATACCAGTCATTTAACAAGTTTGGGTGCATTTTATACAAGTTAATCATTTCATTCACACGACATTTTATTTACTTAGACACCCGCATACAAATAAATCCACTCTCATATACACACAGACTTCATTTAACTAGTAAATATACACTTAATTACAGCCCTTACTCTGTGAGTAGATCTTTTCAGATAGAACACTATGCATACATGCACTTCACTTACGTAAAGCCTCAAACTGAATAAACTTTTCAATATGAAATTGACTTTATGAACATAACTTTTAAAACTTCAGATTAAGTTTCCGACCAACAGAACGTTACATTTCAATGTAAAGGCTACCTACCTACATAGATGAAAGTAGCTTTCATATTCGTACACATACAAAAGTTTACACTTAAAGTAAAAAGTAAGCGAAATGACTATTTTTAACAAATTTTATCTAAGCATCAATAGCTTACTAACCAAGCATTCAGCTAGCCAATAAACGTAATAATGAAGTTCATAATTAACTTGATTGTTGTCGAACGGCTACAAAAACAAACTATTTTATAAAATTTTCTATGAAACTTGAGACAAAAGCTAACTAAGAATGAAAGACTAAATTGAATTTAAACGTGGGGAAATGTACACATATATCTTTAGTTGAAAGACTATATAATACAAAGCTGGAAAACAGTAAAGTTGCAGCATCTATAACTGCAACTCCGTCTATGTAACAATGTCTGTGTTCGGAAATGTGCGACTATGAACACTTATGCCCATCGGGGATACAATATATGAAAGTGTTTATATTCGTATTTATTTGTGTCAATGTATGTTTGCGAATATTGGTAAGACTAAACAAACTAAAGCAACGATAATACATTCAACTCATTTCATTATACAAGAAGTATTGTCCCTTGAACTTAAACCTAAATCACACAACAAGCACTTAGTCTATATGCAGTTAAGTTGGTAGTTTAAATGCTCAACTTAAATACTCAATATGTCTAACTTATCTAACCAAGAAAGCTGATGTTAACATATAAAAAAACAACTGGTCATGTCCAAGCAGCTTACATACTGGCTTTTGTATGTAAATAGAATATTTTATACTAAGTCCTGTGATTGGGCATATTTTTAAAATATGTGTAAAATTATAAAAACTACTTAATTATAAAAAAAAATGCAGAATAGCTAGATTTACCTCTGCAGAAACTTAAATACATTTCATACATGTTTTTTAAAGCAGCGCTGAAACTTAAATTCCCTATTATTACTAAGTACAAAAAATCTGATTAATACTATTATTTATGTAATTAAGCTGTACAACGAAAATATCATAGTCGAAATAAACTTCACTACAAAATTAAATTTCTATCAGTTATTAAGTACATCCTTCTACTCCTTTTAAGCAAGTGTTCAGTGTGCAATGAGTTGTTTAGTAGTTAACAACACCAAAAAACTAAAAAATTAAAAATGGCATAAAAGTGCTATGTAACAACACTAAACATGCAGAAAAAAGAGAAAAATAATTAAACAAAAAAACGTTAACATTTCAAAGGTAGAGAAATTTCTTTTAAGATTTTGAGTGTTTAATTTTAAATGTCCGAAAGCCAAGTTTGGTTCATAAAAACTACAAATGAATATAGATTTTCTTATTAATTTAGATATCTGACGTATTACCAACCAAATTGATTGCAACAGACTAGTACTGATTTTTTCCTTCACATATTCAGTAACAAACATGATAAGAATATCGGCATATTATTATATTATAAAATTACTTTTCAACTTTATAACTTCTAACATTGAAGTTAAAGCTGAAGTACCAGTTTTTCACATCTAAAGTGTTTATACAGTAGTTTACCACAAATAATCGTTGTGGAATTATTTTCTGATTCTTCTATTATTATTCTTCAGTTAACCGGTTCTATTTTGATTTTTTTGGTACCGTGAACTGGCACTTTGGATGTTTAATTTCTTTTTTAGTGATTATAAGTGCTGTTAGCTGTAACTTTAATCGTTCATTTCATTTTTTTTCGTTACTTTTAGTGCTGTTAGCTATCAATTTGACTGTTGTTTATTTTATTATATGTAGGTGTCTTTGAATTACACATTATTTGCATGCGTAACTGATGTGAAAGCGTTTACTTCCTATTCGATCTCAACTATCATTTATAATAATTTTTACATATGTGATTTTTAGCTAAGTTGACCTCTAATTGCTTACGTAAATAATTTAATTAGATTACCTTCGTAGTTAATATTTTTTTAATTATATTTTATTATAATATAGAAATATCTGATAGTATTGTAAGTTTACTTTGTAATAAAGACTTTCAAGCGTCCGACTTGATTTCTTTAGTAAATTATATGAAATGTTTACTACTCAAAATTTTTACTAAAATACTAGATTCAAATTATTGAACGAATTTAATATATTTTATGCATTTTATTGTTTAATAAAACAACAAAATAAAACATACAAATAATAATTTTATTTTTTTATATAAAAGTCAAATTTTGAACTTAATCCCTAATAAATATAAAAATATAATTTATATAATTAAAAAATCAACTCACTTGGATGACAGTTAAAAGTTCGTCACTTTTGCTGCAAAATGTTGTTTCATTGAATATTTTGAAAATATTTTTAAAGCAACTAAAAATCACTTCTTTGTGTGGCTTTCAAATAAGCTCCAAAATATTAGTATCACATAATCATCAATAAAATTAAATCGAAAAATTGATGAAATATACTTTATGCTTCTGCAATAAGCAAAAAAAAATCTATATATAAATTTTTGACCAAGTGACATATGCCATATGACGACTACGAAAATCGAACAAAAATCGAACTTCCAAAAACAAAAAAAAAAGGAATGGGTATGGGTATGGCTTATAAGCACATAAACGCAACTCTAATATCCCGGCAAACATTAAAATGCACTTCAGAAAGTCATTGATCATATTCTACGTTACCTTGGGGTATCCAATTTAAAACTTTCCACATTGCCATCAGCAGAATCAACCACAAAAAATTATTAATGACCTCCAACATGCCACAGACGTTAAAAATCGAACGCACTCACAAATAAACGAGCCAACGGACACAAACGCGCTCTCACACACACATACATACACACATATACAAACAAAATAAACAGGAAAAAAATGTTGCAAAAATTTTGCTTAAAAACAGAAACGGAAACTATAACTCAGCAGTTCAGCATTAAACAAAGCGCACTGGCTTCGTTCCATGGTCTATGGTCTATGCCCCAGTAGCCGAGGTGGTGTACAGTACAATCGATAGGCAAATTTAGTGCAAGAACTTAAACTAAGTTTAGCAATTTAAAGCTCAGAAAATAGGATTTTGATCATTTTTAACTTAAAATATATAAATTTTTTGATATGAATTAATAAATAATTAAATTGAAAAATAATCATAATAATAACTATATAATATATATCTTGTCTACTATTAATTTTTTTTATTTTTAAATAAAATATTAAATTTATTGTAAAGTCATAATATTAACACACATTACAAATGTATTAATTTTACTATTGAATATTATAGTTCTACATAATAATTCTTTGAACAGCACACCTTAAATATTTTTGTATATATATATAACAAATAAAAGAAATTCTTTTGTTTTTATTTAAGAAAAAAAAATATATATATACAAGAAAAAAAGCTAAATAATTTCATGCATCACACATATATGTAGATATCTATTTTTATAGACTTGTATCTTACCTTCAACTAGAGGCAGTATAGTTGCTATCGATCGACAACAGCACATAAATTCTTATATACTTTTCGAAAAACTAAATTTAATGACAGACATTCTGATACAGAAATACCAAAAAATCTCTACAAAAAATATAACAACAGAAAAAATAACATTAAATTCAAAACAAAATTAAACTTTAATTTATTGTTGTTTTTGTGAGAGTGACGTCTATAAATTTGCAAAATTTTATTGTCCTTATTTTTGAGAAAATTTCGTTAAATTTGTATTTTTCAACTGAAAATATTTATTTATTTTTTTTATTTTTTTTTATTAGTTCTTAAAACTCAGTTGTAATAACATTTGTAGGCAATTATTCATTTTTAATATTTTACATTAATGTTTTCTAAGATTTTTAGGAACATTACTTTCGTTGTATTAAATAAGTTGATTTATTTATTTATGTTTCATTTAAATCTTCCTACTATAGTTTATGTATAAAATTAAGTCGAAATGCTTACATTTTTTATGATTCATATTATCACTTCAATAAATATGTCTAAAAAGACAAATCTGTGCTGTCAACTATCACTATTTTAATACCATTTTCGATTGGTAAATCTGGGATAAGTTTCGCAATCGAAATACACTTTTAGTAGTATCATTTAGTAGTAGTAGTTTTTTTTTGTATCATTTTCGATTGGTAAATCTTGAGCGAAATATATAACACTCTGGAACAATTTATAATACTCTAGATATTTTGCAAGAGTAGCAAGATAATCCTAAAATTTACAGCTCTTCTATATGGCTTGATACAGGTAAGAAGTGATTTGGTTCGACGTATGTATTTATAAAAAATACAAATGGCTATTAACATAGTTACAGAAATGTTAGATTACGCTAAAAAACGTTCCATTGCGCAACAAAATTTGACAGATCAAAAGTAAATGTAGATTAAATCCAGATATATCAATCAAAAACGAGAAAAAAAAATTTTTAAAATATCCTAAAAAATAATAATTATATGTAGTTGATGGTTATTCACTTACATTGTTTATTACTGTTATAAATTCTAGGGTACCTTGCACAACAATCTAAAAATCTATAATTATAAAAATAAATAATTATATTTAGGTGATGGTTATTTTGTTGCATTGTTTATTACTGTTATAAGTTCTAGGGTAACTTGCACAACGCTCTAAAGATCTATTGTGCCTCCTTCATGAACTCAGAGAATTAATTTTTCCACGCTTATCTCTTTTAAATATAGAAAACATCACCTTTTTCAAAATAAAAATTTTAATTTTTTTTTAAAAAAAATAAAGAATTTTCTTTATTATATTAAATTCAACACAACAGTATTTTTTAATCACCCTTCAATTGTGATACTAGTATTTATTAGTATATGTATTTTAAAATGTCATTATATCTAATCTTATGTAAAATGCTCTATGCTTCACTTTAATTATTCACATCTATTCAAGTCAATATCTACTCATAGATATGAGTTTCGTGTATTAATACATCCTTCATTCGAACCTATTTAAATGAACCTATTTGTCATTTTTCTGTTACTTAAATCCATTATACCAACCATCACGTTGCATATCTTATGAAATACATCACCTAGTAAGACAATTGTGTTCATATTCAAAATAATTGCGAAATTTTCTCAAAATAATGTTTAATTTTAATGTAACAATTTATAAAAAATATTACAAAAATTATTTAAAATAATTTTTTTTTGCGTGTTTGTGAATGTTCTTATTTAAACAACCAAAATAAAAATCGCAACAACCATTAACGTACCGCAGTGAGACCTTGTAGTCGTCCAAGTCGCTCAAGGCAGCGTTACGAACATCAACAGCCACATACACCGTTACATCAACAACAGCTGGAACAAATCAAAACGCAATATTTGAGCCATCAACACGACATTACCATCGACCGAGATACAGTTTTAAAGATAAATCGCCTCACAACACGAAAGAATTTGCATAAACGCGACCACAGCTGGCCACCACCAACTGTGGAATCAAAGGAAAATTACGCTGATCTAACAACAACAAAAACAACAAATGGAACAGATGGAACAGAGGGAACAACAGGAGCAGCAAAATACAAAGCACGCAGTTCATCAAATGATAATGTGGTATACTTCGATGATAGTGTTTGTAAGCGACACGGTATCGATGAGCTACGTGCGAAATTCAATAGTCCCACAAGGATAATTGAACCCACAGCAAAGGAAGTGCAGCAACATAGGAAAATGGCTAAACTGAAACAAGAGCGAAAGGAGATACAAACAAAAGCACATACAGAACATTTACAGAAAAATGTGACAAATAAATCGATGCTTGTAAATACCCACAGGAGTGAAAAGTTGACAAATGTTAGCAATAACAAGGATAATACATCATTGACAAAAATGGCCGAAACACGCAAAGATGCAGTTGAATTGCCAACAAAAGCACAGACTGACATATTTAGTGAGGAGCAAAAAGGGAAAGAGGCTAGGGATGATGCCGTTATTATTGAAGTTGTTGATGATGTTGGCAATGTCACTGATGCTGCTTATACCAACGGCAACACACCGACTATCAGAGGTTTTTCTGCACCTGAAACAAAAGCAGCAGATGAATATATTGGCTTGGTCGAACCGAAACGTAAATATTATGAACAATTGGCAAAGGACACAAAAAAGTGGCACAGCTATGATAATATTGCAAATAAATTAGAATTGAGTCAAACAGCGGAAAAAATTGCGTCCAGCAAAGCTATGCAAAAACACCACAACAGGCAATCATATTCGCTGGAACGAGGACGTGCAAAAATGCGACGTCAACAATTGCCACCGCTAAAGCCACGAACAAGCAGTGGCGGTGTTGGCGCGACTGATAATTTGGTAAGTTTGACAGCATCATGTTGTAATTTATCAAAGTCACCGAAATTGCAAAGACGCAGTATAAAATTGGCAACCGAAATTAAAATATGCTACGACGATGATGCTGAAAAAGTAGCTTCCAAAAACAATAAGAGTGCAACTATTATTAGTAAAAACAAACCCTTACCGGAGTCAATCAAATCGCAGCAATCAAACTTAATTACAACTGCAGCGGATCTAGAGCATATACCCCTACCACCAACACCATTAGAGAAGAATAAAAATTTATGCGATATAGAACCAGTCCATGACAATGAGCAAACCCTATCTAATCACCCTCGCATTAGTGAGAGGTATCTGCAACAGCAACAGCAACAAAATAATCATATGTTGCAGTATAATAAAAATGTCAATTTGGCGCAAAAACACATGCCACAAACGCATATTATACCCGTGACACTGGAACGATATCAGGAGCGTCAACATGCAGAAAAGTATGATATTAGCGAAAATATTTATGATAATGTGAAGAAAATCTCAAGTGACTTCAAGCAGCAGAAGGAAGCCGCACTGAACACATTAAGCGCTCAGCAAATTTATGACGATGCTTGCATATATTTGCGTTCAATTGATTTGCAAGAGAATACAGTCGCTTATATACCAGCAGCCATTACTATTGTACCCTCTCCAACTGAGGAAGTACTGGAGCATTGGACGGAAGCTAAGAACTTAAGGGCCAATATACAAAAGGCAGATCATATACAGCCATTACCACCGGTGACAATCACACCACCAACAACACCACCACCGCCACCACCCCCGCCAGTGCCACCGCCACCACCAACACGCGCAACTAATGAAAATTTAATACAAATGGCGACAAAAGACGCTTCAACAACTCAGCACAACAAACAAGAAGTAATGTTGCAAGTCGGTAATCCCACAGAAAATGATAACATATCGTCGGACTTAACGGAAATACCAACATATACAATACATTTACCAGCTGCACACAGCAGTGGTGGAACACAACATCAAGACAGTGTCACTAAACTTAAATCTAATCCAAATTCAACTCAAAGCACAACACAAGCTTTAAATTTAAAAACTCCATTGGGGCATGTTAATAATGCAGCAAAAACAACAACAACAAAAGCAAGAGCAACAACAATACCAAATACAAACAAATCCTTGACAAACCCATCTAATGCCGAGCAACAAATGCGTCGTCAAGGCATTTATTATACTGATGGGGAAGATGTTTATGGACCATTTAAGAGCACAGAGTTATATGACAGCAATACACAAATGCATGCGATATCACACAGAAACCAGAAACCGAAAAAAATGCAAAGCTTAGGTAGTGAAAATGTTGGTACCGTTAACGTTGCTATTGCCACTGCTGATGATAGTGGTACTGATGCTGATGCTGATGCTGAAATTAAAAATGAAATCGATGCTATTAAATGTAAACGAGATCGAAAATTGGGACAAACACGTGTAGGTGTAGGCATACAGGGAAGAAATTTAGACCAACAAGCAACTGAGAATAAAATTGAAATTGCTTTGCTGGAAGCAAAATATGGCCAAATACAGCAATCCATAACGGAACACCTCAAGCAAATCGATACATATATGGCAAACGCTAAAATGGCTTTAAATCGTACCCTACTGTCAGAGCAAGAAGCAATCCCATACATTGCCTGGCATGATGTTGTTGGTGCAAAATCGAAGGAGCCGCCTAATGCTATGGCTGCAATTCAAACAAGAGAGGTGGAAACACCACTACAGTTTGTGTTAAAACAAATGCACTGCCATCAAGCAAAGGCAGCCAAGCCAAATGAACATAATGGGGAAGAATGTTCAAATGTAAAAACTGCTGAAGAGCTTAACGATACCACCATCCATGCACAGGAGGTAGAAGTGATTAAACCTGTGGAGAATATGCCAATTGTGGAAGAAGCACTGCATGATTTGGCCAATATAGCTGAAAGCATATTAGCCTGTGAACATAAACTAAGAAAGCAAGCCGCAACGATTGAAAACAGCAATTTGAGCGCAATATTGAATAAAGATTCAGAGGCAGTTCAGTACAAAATTCCGATTAATAGACATTTAACTGCGGAAATAGATGAAGAGAAAGCAACGGATTTAAAGCTTACTACATCCTTGTTAACATCAATACCAGTAACAACAACGACGTCTGGTATTAAAATGGAAAATGGTTATAAAGGAATAAATAAGCAAAATCAAAATAGTAACAGCAGTGCTGATATCAGCAGTCAAGCACTAACTTCGAAACAACACCTCGAGCATGTTGCAGATGTTGTGGCAAGCTATGAGCAATTATCGGCCACAGATAATACCACTGAGTCTACACCAGAACATGCAAAATTATTTCAAATCAATATTGATGCCAATATTGGCAGCCAAACGCCCACACCTACCACAAGTGCAACAACAACATCAAGTAAGACACTACCAAGAGCAATGCAACATGCAGCACAAGTTGTAGAACAACAGCAGGTAATTGACACAAACCAAGTAAAAGGCAATCATACGCTTGCAGTAACAACATTAGCAGCAAATTTAAATCAACAACAAGTCGAACATCAACTCCAATCAGCAACGAACAACGAAAAGGATGTGGCAATTCTACCGCGACAGCTTTCGTGCACTTCATCCACAACGTCAAGTGATACCAACGAAAGCAAAATGCCAACAATAAAATTAAAAGAAATAAACAAGAAGGAAATTTTTAAGCAACAGGAAAAAAATATACGAGAACGAGCTAATATGGTCAATGCTAGTGTATATGATAATGACATCACTGTCAGTACCACTACTGGCACCAACAATAATGCCAGAAAGTTCAAAGCTACACTCAGTGATCAATGTCCTGCACATCAAAAATCAACTGCGAAAGCCACTGATAATTACGACACGTATAAAGCTACCTATGAAATTAAACAGACTCCCTACACGTCACGTCAGTTCTCGTTGGAGCAAGAGCACGCATTGCCAAAAAAAGTCAGTGACACACTGAAAACGGAAGTGCAAATTGCACACGAGACAGTATCAAAGGGTATGCGAGTAGCAAATTGTCAAGTGCAAAAGGTGCAAAAAACGGAAAGTGTTAAATCCAGTAAAGTGACGCAGGAACCACAATTGGTGGAGCATTATGAACAGTGCTTCGAAGGTGAAGTGCTCGAAAGTGCACGCGCTGCTACACCAAATCTGTCATTTCGCAAATATCCTGCACCATTGATAGAACCAAACGTGCCACCACGTGCAGCTTCACCATTCGGTCTGAATGCTTTGGAAGCGACACGTTCCCGTACACGAACGCCATCGCCCATACCACCATTCTCTCTAGAAGCCAAATACACATATGTGCCGCAGGTGGAAGGTCACAATATTGGTTTATTAGTACACACCGCGATGCCGCCAATGTCGTCAACCAAGGAACCACAAACAAGCAAGCGTGAGCATTGCAGCACTAGAAGCAGCCAGAGTTTAGCTTCTACGTGCGCAGGTAGTACATTGCTAACTGGTGTTGCCGCTGATAATGACTATACCAACGTTGACGCTGATATTGATGTTGGTGTTGATGGCGATGACGATGGTAACGTTGAAGGTGGCGGTGACGGTGACGATGACAGTGACGGTGACTATAACGTTGCTACTGATGTTGCTGTTAATGTTGATGACTTTGTTGAATTGCAACGCATTAATGCAATTGTTGCTACTGACAAGGGCAAGTATAATACCAAACAGACCACTTCAAATGCAGCTACTGCTTTAACTAGTACATTATCTTACTCACAATCAACAGCACCAACCACAAATAGTATACGTGCTTCCAATTTGAAATCAATAAAAGAGGCTACTGATGACAATCGCAGCTACAAGCAACCTCCAACATATGAATTTATAATACAACAACAACAGCAACATTACAGGCAATCGCCACAAAAGAACTTGTTGTCGACTACTAATGTCACTGCGGACAGTTCCAATGTTGGGGCCCATAAGTCTGTCAAGGGTTTTGAAGTGACACCGAATACTACAACACCGATGCAAGAACAGCAGCAACAACAACGGCATCAATATTGTACAACATCAAGCGAAAGTACAATAATTAATCGTACGTTCGATAATGTATCACCACGTCCATATATCACAATTGAAGGTATGATATATGTGTTATGATATGTTGCTGTTACTATTTGTTGCTGTTGTTTTTTTCCCTTTCCTTTTTTGTCCCTTTTGTCTGTTACAATACAATTGAAAACCTTCTATTTGGTTTCATTCGTTTCGTACGTGTTGTGAATGTCCTTGCAATTGCGTTCCTTTTGTTTTTTCAACTATTGGATATGATACAGATTTTATTGTCGATAATGTCTTTGTGAAGTTCAAAACTATGTATACGTATATAATACTTCTCAGTGGAATATATCTGTTTTGTTCAAAATTTTTGTTTTTAGTATAATCAATAGGAAGGTCCTTTTTAAAATTATCTTCAAATGTATGATTTGTTTAAAGAATGTTAATGATAGTGAATGGATATAAGTATTCATTTGTGTGAAAAAAAATTAATTGTAATTAATTGTAATTTTATTTAAACATTTTGGCATCACCTTTTTGAAATCTTGTAGGATTATTTTTTTTTATTTAATTCTTTTTTCAATATTTGTTATGCATTAAATATAAATTTTGTTTAACGAAGAATCAATCAAAGAGCTCGTGTGGTTTGAACTTTTCAGCAAATATTATGGTTAATTCAAATCTTTATCCATGTTTGATGATATAAGTGAAAAATTTTTTCTCTTATTGAAAAAAAAAATTTATGAAATTCATTTTACATAGCGCTATATTGATTATACAAATATAGACGACTTCCTTCTACTGAGAAAAAATATATGGAAAAGCTCTTTCCATAACACTGCATTGCTTCTGTAGATGAAGGTTGTACCTCCACTTTTAGGGAAAAACCAGTATAACTGTAATGAATGATTACCACATTGCTTAAGTAAACTTTATTATAATTAATCAAATATCAAATGATTTATTCTGTAGACAAATTATTTTTTCATAGATATTTACAATCCACTCCCTCTAGATTATATAGTTTAAAAAATCAACTAGTTCTGGTATAGAAAATTCTTTATTTATATTTTGAAAATGCTTAATTTGATCGAAGTTTCCTTTAAAATCATGCATTTACTTTTGCACATGGTTTTAACAGGATATACATAAACGCTTTATAATCATCAATGGAAATATGGCAGTCCATTTCCATTGCTCGACACAGCAAGCTATATGTCATCTGCTTTATATTTGTTCTCGGTATCATTTTACTAGAGATCGAGAAAATACTAAGTGAACAATAACAACACTAAGTGCACAAATAGGAGTTTCTATATTGCATGTGAAAAGTCATTTTAAAAAAGACTTCTTTAATAAAATATTTTAATATATTTGTATAATCCATTATTAGTAACCTGAAAACATTCAACGGTACTCTTAATTACTATTAACCATTCGATAAAGTGACTTTTTCAACTAGTTTGAGTTCGACAGTAAACACTAAGTGAACAATAAGAACACTAAGTGACCAAAAAGATTACTAAGTGAACAATCAGAAGTTTCTATAGTCCACATGAAAGGTCAATTTAAAAAAGTCTTCTTTATTAACATATTTTAATATATTTTTAAAGTTCATTACTTTTTATTACTATTTATATAGATAATATTTATTTATTATTTATAAAAGTACTATTTATTACTGTTAACAATTCGATAAAGTAACTTTTCAACTAGTCTGAATTCAACAGAAAGCACTGAGTGAATAATAAGAAGTCCTTGTATTCAACATGAAAGTTGATTTCAAATATAAAATATTTAAACACATTATCGAAGTCACACATTATTCTATATTATTTCTAGATTTCATATAATATGAAAGGTTATTTCAAAAACAATATTTTTTTAATTGGTTTTAAGTTTTGTTTCAATCCATTTTTAATAACTATTTAAAAATAATATTATTTTTTAATCTTCCTGAAGAAAATTTTATGTACAGTTTATTAAATATTATTTAATAAATAAATATTAAATAATAAATAAATATTAAAAAATTTAAATTTAAAATTATTAAATGAAAATAAATGAAAGGCATAAACGACCCCTTGTCAAATCTAAGTGCAAAAATTTGATAAGTCGTCATTTTTCATACAATAACTGCGCTGATTTTCAGATATCAAAGTTTCAGTGTATTTTTGAATTCTGACACTTAGCAATAGCTGTAACTATCTAAGATATTATAAGATCTTAGATAGTTAAAACTAGATATTTGAAAATATATTTCAACTAACTATATTGAACTATAGTAACAGCTACTCACTGCAAATAATAATTGAAATACTTTGCTTAAACTATTTAATAAAGAGGTTTTTTTTCGAACAGTAGTGAACTACAACAACAAAAATTCATTTTATTTTATTTTAATTAATTGAAATTTTGGTTGACCATATAGCTGTTTCGAGTATTGACAAATACCCATCATCAGTGGTGTTGGAAATAATTCTTGTATTTAATTATTCGTAAATAATTATTTTTGAGACTGCAAGTACCAGGAATCGAACTCGGGTACTGCCAAATGTGAAGCTCAGAATCAGCGCACCTTAACCAACTGATCCAAAGCCGTACTTGACTTTTTATGTTCGCATATTTTTAAACTAAACTATTTAAGGTATTTTATTTCAACTATAGTAATAGCTACATAGTTGTCGTAAACTCTCATTGTTGTGAAAAGAATTATGAATGTCATAATTCACACAGAAAACAAAAACATTATAACTTTTGTCTTTGTTATTCATTTAAATTAATTCAAGCTTTTAGCTTAAAACATTTTTACTTATTATTTTTCGTTATAACAAACAAAATAAAATCCTTACTAGTTAAGTAACCAAAAAAAAACTATGTTTTACCAAATTAATACAAAAACATATCTCTTCCCAAAATTAAAAGCTATTGTAGTGTATTTACAATTTATACTTCATTGAAGTAATGCAAAAATACTTTTAAAAAAATTTCCATACAAAACGTAAATAATTTACTACTCTTAGTGGACGTATAGTACTCGTATTTCTAAGTTATCATACAGATGTTTTGTTAAAGATGATTTAAAATAAAAGAATTCATTTTTTTTTTACAGAAAGTTAGCTAATTGAATGTAAAATAATAGTAAAGTTTATAACTCATCAAAATGTTCTTAATTAAAAATTCAAACAAAAAGAAAAGGTTTATTATTTTATTGCAAAAATAGTATTTTGAGATTTAATGCACAAAATATGCTATATCATCTATCATTCATAATCTATATGTCATTCAAATTGAATTATGCACAAATCTTCCGTAGCTCAAACAAAGTAGCATGAAAACTTCTTCACAATTATTAAGCTGCAGTGAAACCTATCCCGATACTTGCAAAAAGTAAGTAATCTGAATACATAAGTCGTAAATAAGCCACAGCCACAGTCGCAGTCACAACTACCTATCATCTAACAATGCATTGGTCTGAGTAACTAAGCACAGATACAGCATCTTCCTTGTATATGATTAAAACTACTTTGATACATCATATCGAGATAAATATTCCATTTTTTGTTCTCCCTTAGCTTATCGTAATGATGCAGTAGTCGCTCTTTTGGCTGTAGTGGCTGTAGTAATAACAAAAACCAAGCCAAATACTTTTACATTAAGGTGTTGTAAATGTTGGGGTATCGCAAAGATAAAAAATTGCGAAAATATAACTTTTTTTATGTTGGTTTTTGTTACTCTACTGCTTTGGCGCTGCAATGCCAACAAACAGACTGCAGTCTTCTTGTTTGACGGATTTGATGATGATTGATGAATATGAGTAACGTAATTTTATTGGGAATAAAAAACAATGCTTGCAAATTTTACAACAAACACAAGTTTATAAAGAGGAAAAAGTGAGGAGTGAAGAGTGAGTGTAATGCAAATAAAGCACAACTATTCGATTAAAACTTTTATCCAATAGTATTATGCATAAAGTATCTGATGAAGCAAAAGCTTATTGCGTATTCATACATAAATTTGATAAAGCATTCTTGTAATTTTGCTCATTGACAATGAATTGCTTAAGTGGCATGTAGCATTGTTAGAATTTCACTATGAAGCTGCATATTTGCATTTGCTTAGGTAATTCAATTGAAATGAATTTGTCATATTTGAGTAATGCTCGATTATTAAATTCGAAATTAATTTCATCACATAATAATGAACATACCTACATGGTAAAAAGAACCAAATACGAGTAATAATTACAATATGTTAACGTGAAATTATTTTGTATTATAAATTTCTAGGGAATACTTGAATTGCATTTATCTCTAAAATGTATTGATTCACATTAATATTATATATTTACTTATCAGATAATTAAAATTCATAAAATTATGAATAAAATAAATCACAATGTAAGGAAAACCAGTAATGTAATGTTTCATTATGAATTGAGAATTATAAATAGTGGAGATTGGTAAATGCAATAACAAATTGGAAAAATATTTATTTTTAATATTATAACATATTATGGACCTTCACCAAAACCAACTGTATTTTTATTATATTAAAAAAAATAATAAATGATTAAGTCAGTGCAGTACTTGTATTTAAAACGTTTAAGCTTAATAGAAAATATAATTTTTTAATAATTATTTTTTATATTTTTTAATATAAAAATACAGCATGAAGAGTTTTAAATGAAAATTTCATTCAAATTTTTATTTATTTAAAATGAAATATATACATTTAACTGCTTAATAGAAAATATAATTTTTTAATAATTATTTTTTATATTTTTTAATATAAAAATGCAGCATAAAGAGTTTTAAATGAAAATTTCATTGAAATTTTTATTTATTTAAAATGAAATGTACACATTTAACTGCTTAATAGAAATTATAATTTTTTAATAATTATTTTTTATATTTTTTAATATATAAATGCAGCATGAAGAGTTTTAAATGAAAATTTCATTCAAATTTCTATTTATTTAAAATGAAATATATACATTTAACCGCTTAATATAAAATATAATTTTTTAATAATTATTTTTTATATTTTTTAATATAAAAATGCAGCAAAAACAGTTTTAAATGAAAATTTCATTCAAATTTTTA